AGCCACCATTAAAGTATCAGTTCAGTTTTCACAGACACATATTTAATGACCAAATGGCTTGACATCATTATCTCCAATCATAAAATAGGACAGCCAAATTCTTCCAGCTTTAAACAGTTCCAAGTTTATATCAAAACTGTTAACCTGGGAGGAAACCTTTCCTGATGTCATTCACTTGGGAAGTTTTTCTTAAAGAATAAACTATACTCTGGGAGACCAAATTCTAAGTCAGGGCTGGACAATAAAACTACAAGAACACGTATATCCATGCAGGAAACCCAAATATATTCACCAATCAAGGGTTTCTGATAGGTGAAAACTTTGTTGTATTTTTTGACTATGAGGGTGAACTCAGATATCCCCAACAAGAATAAAGGACCATTTGTAACTGTTATTTTTTTTAAATATTTTCCTATAAAATGAAGAAATGTCCATCCCCTTACTCTGCAGATGGAATATTCATTATTTGTCTATTTATCGTGTGATCCAACAATTACTTGTTACTGACAGTTCCCTAATGTGGTCAAATTATCAATGGATGAGAAACTCTGGAGTAAGATTCCAGTATGTGTCTTTAAACTTTTGTTTGTAGAAGGTGTCAGTAATTACCTTTTCAGCTGTCTCTCATAAATGCCCTTAATACGAACATCTCGAACATCTCGTTGGTCTCCTCCCAGCAGACAGCAAGTAAACTCTGAGAAGTCCATTCACTTCTTTTAGTTATAAAAGTTGGTGCTTAGCAGCCGCTCATCCTTCCTCCCGGCCTCTTTCTGAATTGAAACAAAGTATCTGACGCTAAACCTCAAGCAAGTTAACTTGTTAGTCTTCTTTCCCTTCCCACCCTTCCTGGGAAACAACGCTGACCCTGGCTTTCACCTTGCTCCTTCCCGAGTTCACCCTGAACACCTTCACTGGAATCTGTCAGTTTCTGTAAACCGTTCATTTTTCTGTCTAGATATCCTTAGCACCATGCCTTTGACTCTTCTCGGTTTTGTGTCTATTTTTGTCATAAACTTTCCAGCACCAAGACATAGGCAAATAAGTGAAAAATTATTTCAGGGAAGATAATTGCCCCCAGCTCTCACTCAGGGTCCTCCTTCCCTCCTGCAGTCATCTGATTCATTAGAAACAAACAAACAAAACAAAAAAAAAATGTAAGTCAGCGGCTACGGGAAAAAAAAAAAAAAACACTCACTGCATAAAGGTGATTTTGGCCTGGCTATCTCAGATGGATCAGCAGAGTCCCTGTAAAGGAGAGATCCAACTCCAAAAGCCACTTGGTCTCCACATGCTCTCCAACAACCCTCACACTCATCTTGCTCGTCTATGCTCTCTCACACACAATGATGATGTTTTGTAAATGATGGTACGTATATATACATTTTTAAAGAATGTAAGTCAGTTGATGGTATGACTACCCAGTTGTTCTTTAGAGCTGGCATGCCATGGACTGAGTCTTTTTCTTTACCCCTGAGTCTCTGCAGCCTGAACAACATCCCATTCCCTGCCTCGACCATGCTGGTCACTTTTTCCAGAGTGTATCACACTATTGGCACAAGAAGACGTTTCTTTTCCATTTTTAACGAATAGTGACCCTTTGATACACATTCAGTGTTTTCTAAATTCCAACTGGTGACCCCACCCCCATACCAGTTTTTGTAAGTGTATGATGAGCTACTATCTAACAATAAGCATGCTATTAGGACAAGGGGGAATGAACTTTCCTTAACAGCAAAGCTGTTTTCTTCTTGGTCTCTGTGTCCCATCCCCCACCCCACCCCACTCCAACCTGGAATGGTCATTGTGTCACTGAAGTGCCCTCTTTTATCAGGGCGGGGAGCTGAGTTTCTATCACCAAGCATGTCATCATCCTTTAAATTAGTACTCTCACAGAGGTTGTTGGAACGTTGCTTTCTTTATTACCGTAGTCTCTTACCTCGTTTCCATATTTTAATTGTGCTTTTTGGCACAACCTTCTCAGGTAGCCAATGCTCACAGTGAAGGGTGTGATCCCTGTTACAACAGATCTACCGCTCCGTGCCTCTCCACCCCTCTGTCTACATCAGTTGCTTTTTACACCAAAGTAAAGAACCCGCATAGTTGTTTTTCTGGCCGCTAATAACAGAGGTTTGACCTGTTTGGATGCTTATGAGCATTCAAAGAAGGAAGTGTAAGCAGAGGCATAGGAAGACTTTTACCGAAAGATTGGGCTTAATGAGGATGCTTCACTGTGGTGTTGTGTAATCTGTCTTCACTGAATTTACCGACGTCATTGAATAAAATGTGAACCATGAAAGACCATAATGTTGCTTTGAGCTTGGTAAATTTGCTTTGAGGGTCTTGGGAAGATGCTTACAGTCTTCTTATAAATTCCTTTGTGGCACTGACAGTGAACATCTTTTAATTTGTCATATTGATTTGTGTGTCTCCTACAGATGAGTGATTAAGTTGACTGAGACTAGAAGTGACTTTCTGAATATCAGTCCAGCATTTGTGAAATGAATGTATGATTTTTCTAGACACCTAGAAAATCTGTGTGAATATTTGTGTTGATTTATAACCATAGAATCATATGTTAGAACATAAATCGAGTGCTCAGAATAACTCCATGATTTTATGCATGAGAAATGTAAACTCAGAAATGAGTGGCTTATCACAGTTAGATGACAAAAAATATAATCCTAGGCCTTAGTGAGCACACATTTATTGTTCCTTCTATCATGCTATTTTTAAGATTAGAATTTGAGTCTCAAGACTGACCACACTTCCAGAGTACAGGCTGCTTCTTCAGAGTATCCAGGTTTAAGTCCCAGCATCCACAGAAACCAGGCACACAAGTGGTGTGAAGACATATATGCAGGTAAAACACCCATACACATGAAATAAACAAGCAAACTATTTTAAAGAATTATTATATTCAATTTAGATCTACAGGAAAAGCCTATTTACTGATCGAAACCCAGGCATGAATCATTCCTAACTTTTCTGCTTCCTGTTATCAGTGTCACTCCTTTGGGAAACTGGTTCTACAATGAGAATGTCAATTGTCTTGGTTTCCAATACTATGTTTTTTCTCAAAGCACTTACCATGTATCTATTCTCAGGATAACAGGGTTCTTTGTCAATCCCTACCCACCTAGTTTATTTTTTAAGTTAGGAACTTCTTCTCTCCAAATAAAATGTAAATTTTGAACTCTTGGACTACAGTAATCAATATTTTTCTGTCCTGAAGTTGTTGCTTAATGATAGATTATTTAGTCTATGCACATCTCTGGGTGTGATCTTCAGCAACACACACACACACACACACACACACACACACGCACGCACGCACACACACACACACGCACGCACACGCACACATACCTACTTGCTCACAATTTAGTGCAGGCCATATAAAGTATACTTTGTGACCCAAAGTAAGTCTCATCATTATGATTTCAAGCATACATATGAAATATACATAGATCTACATGTCATTTCACTAAAATGTTTCTGTCCGTGGGACAGCCTTGAATTTCTTCTTTGGGTTGCCTATATTCCTTTTGGTATTTGCCAACGGATAGTCATTATAATAACAATTGCTATCACTGCTGCATTTTTTTCCTTTTCTTCTTTTATTAAGCCCACCCTCCTATAACAAACTGAAGAAATTATCACATGAAAGACACTTTATTTATACGCAGTCTTTAAAGGACGGGTTTCATAATAATGGAATGTGAAAACTGGAAAGAACATTAGAAAACAATCTGTAGTGAGTGCTATGTAAAAAGACTTAACCAATGGGCTGGGTGGCAGGGGGTTTGGGAGAGGGGAGGAATTAAAACAAAGGAGTCTTCCACAACTCCTCAACAACTAACAGCTTACCGACATTAAAAATCAGTTCTCTTATTTCTAGTATTGCATGTTATTGCAATGTGATCACACGACACGTTTTGTCTCGTCAAGATACTGTTTTACACGTAGTTGTGGAAGCTATAGAGATCATAGGAAAAAGTCCGATTCACTGGGTTATTTTGATAATTTCTTTTAAAGGTATTACTTTTTGCACTTGCTCACCAGAAATTCTTGTCCCTTGTTGTTGCTGTTGTTGTTTTTGGTGTTGATGGTGGTGGTGTTGTTGCTGTTGTTGGTGTTGGTGGTAGTACTGTTGGTGGTGGTGGTGGTGGTGGCGATGGTGGTAGTGGTGGTAATGGTGGTGGTGGTGATATCTGTGGTATTATATGCTCAGGTGTGTATGCCGATACATGCCAAAGGGTGACTTTGTATGTCTTCTTCTGTTACTCTCCACCTTGTTTTTTGTTTTTGTTTTTGTTTTGAAACAGGGTGTTTCCGTGACTATTTATGCTAAATTGACTGGTAGACAGGTCCTGGGTTCCACCTGTCTCAGCTTCCCTACACTAGTACTGCCTGCACAAGTAGCCAAGCCTCGCTTTTACACAGGTGCTGAGGATTCGAACTCAAGTCCTCTTGCTTTTACAAGGGTCATTTGACACACCGAGCCATTTTTCCAGACCCTCACCCTGAGATTTTTAGCAGAATGAGTTATTATGGGTGAATGATATCAGGATTAATTGAAGTCAGTCTTAGGAATGATTTGCCTTGGGGTGGGGTGCTACAAAATAGTCCTCCAGATGTTACTTAGTACTGCTCACCAGGAGTGACTGTCACTGGGGAGAGGATGCCGAATGCATTCATAAAGCATACTCTATTCCAATCATAATATTTACAGCACCCCCTTTTTCCAAAGAAGAATTTAGATTATGTTGTTTACAGTGGTTATACAAAGGTGGCAGTCTGGAGGAGCCCCTCCTTTGTGATTTAGTAAATTACTTTGAGAAACAAGTTTCTTGAGTCCATGTCCCTGGGGCAGTGACTTTGAAGACGGAAGGCCGAAAGGAAATGCCCAAATGGGCAGACAGCACAGCATCCAGGCAAAATCTGGTTGGCGAGGAAATCTGTTCCCATGATTAGTGAGCTTCCCCAGCCAGCCTGTAGGTGGGTGTGTTTAGCAGGAGGAAGCAATGGGAACCAGCCTGTCAGCCAGCCTTTCAAGCTAATTAGCTCAGAATACAACAAAGATAAGTGAGCCTGAGAGGAGGGCCCTGAGGGTCTTTAGATTCTGGGAAATGTCTGATTGGCAGATGTTAAAAGGGATTCTTTGGTAATCCAGTGCATCAATGAACTGCACAAATTCAGTCCAGAGCTGCAAGAATTCAGGCATGAGGACACTGTGCAGGAGGCTTGCACAGGCAGACCGAGATGGACAGGACCTTGGAATCTCTAAGGCACATCGTTGCCCAAGTCTTGCCTCACAGAGACCCGGCTTTGGTCTTCAAAGACTGTAAGTACTGAAGGAGAAACATCTTATCTTTTCTGACTTTTTAGAAAATAGCTCTACGTGTCTAGTCACATCCTATTTAACTAGGATTTCTGCTAGATCTTTGTAGCAGTGTGCTGTGGGCTAAACGATATTTAAATTGTTCCCAACTTCAGTCAGGGGAATGATTTCCATTCTACACTACATCCACGAAGCTCTGGGTTATTTTGCCAAGACACTACTGTGTAGAAGACGCCTTCTCTAAACTCTGAAACCTGCCAAGTCTTAATGAACTTTTCCAGATGCTTTTTAAATAATTCAAAGCTGACTTGAACTTGATGAAAACTAAAAATAACTTGGAAATTATAATAAAAATGCATCTCTAGTTGTTAATATATTTACTCTTCCATAACAAAACTAGTCAGATTAAATCGAGTACTTTTTTTTATCTAATAATACTGGTAGCAAACAAAATTTAATAACAAATCACAGCAGAACTCCTAAATTTTAATAACAAATTATAAAGCCAATAAAATGAGATGCTTTCTAATTCCAGTCTCACTCCTCACATCCCCCCATCCCGACCCCACGTGGCATGGCAAAGTTATTTTTAAGTCTTTTTTCTAAAATGATTATGAGAAATAATTCAGTCAAGCTTTCCAATTCCAGCCATACTATTAAACCGTTTGTCATATAGCTTCGCTTCTGGAACCAATTTGATTTCTTGCTGCTGCAAAACAGACTGTCTTCACAGTGTATCTTATCTACAGTGGGTGTCAGATTACAAAGGGCTTCTGGAATAGAATTGCGCTTTGGAGCTGCCCAAAAGGTGGAAATACATATGGGATGCCTTTTAGCCTGCAATACGTTACAGCTTTCCTCTTTGTGACTCTAGTAATGTTTGTCTCGATCAAAGTATCGGTGGTTTGGATTTTGCCTCCTGACTAGTGAATAACGGTCCTCTCCAGATGTCCCTGTAGCTTGTATGCCTCATATGTGTGATGAAGAAAGAGAAATGTTGTGCCACTTTATTCCATAAAATTTCCCTCTTAGAAATTAAATTGTAACCAATCTGTTCTCCAAGACATAAAATGAAAGCTATTTTATTTCTCTCTCTCTTTTTTTTAAAAAAATATTGCCTTCAAGCATTTGTCAATAGCTGTGTTAGAAATAATAGAAATCATTCCATCCACAAGCCTAGCCTGGAGTCTATTCTGGCTTGTTATGTTTCCCTCAGTGAAAGAGAAGGAAAGAATGTCTCTCTCCTATAATGCATTCAATTCTTAGTGAAGGGTAAATGGCTTTGGCATGCCCAAAGCTTTGGATAAATTGTAAGGACTTCTTACATCTAGAATTTGGAGTGTAGAGGCAGTAAAAGGAAATGGAGGGAAAAGTGAGGCTGCAAGGTCCAGGTTTTAAGCTGAACTAATTGCTTCCAATTGCATACTGTCTGTCACCCAAATTTTTGCAAGAATGGTATTTTTTTTCCTTTTTTTTCTGAGACCATTATAATCCACACAGAAATTCTTTCATATGGAAGAAATGTGTCACATTTCATATATTTCATTCATTAACAGTAACAACAACAACAAAAAATCCTAAATTTGGCATTTTTCATTGCCGACTTACCCTGGAATGAACTGCTGCTCTGCAGCTGCTCGTTTCAGTGAGTGTGAATGTATGAATGCTGGTCCTCTCCCTTCTGGCTTTTCTAATCCTGGGAATGAAATGACTAGATGGCCAACGTCTCTATTAATCTTTGTGGAAGAGTAGAAATGGGTTTACTGTTTGAGTCAGGACATTAGATGTCTGTTTGGAGACCAAGCTTCATCTTGGCAACTTTGGTTGCTGTAGATGTCAAAGTCTGACTGGTGAATGTTATTTCTTTGGCACACCTATATGTTGCTGTCACTACACTCTTACTGGCAACCCAAAGAAAACTTCCACCAGCCCTAAGTGGCAGGTTCTGAAAAGTCTGCTGCCATCCTAACTCACTCTAGGATCCGCCCCTGCCACAACCCATCCAGTCTCTACCAGGAGGGAGGGCTGTGCACTCACTGCCAATTATTTAAGAATTGCTTCCTTGCTTTCCTGGAAGATGAAAAGGGACTTCAAGGAATTATAAAACCCAACTCAAGTGAACAAAGGAGTATTTTTTAAAAACTGTCAGGGTGTTTCTAAACTCCTATGAATGCAAAGTGCTATTTCCTTCACTCTTTGGACACACAGTATAGAGAGCAAAAATGGCCTTCTGAGTTATTCACCACCCTTGGTTGGCTTTCGATTTGCTTACAAACAAGCAACAGTTGGTAAATATGCTCTTCAAGTTGATTAGGAAAAGCACTCTGAGCATTTTCTAGTATGAGGCAGATCCATGTGGGAATAGTTACATTCCCTTAAGGAAATACATGTTGAATGCATTGCTCAGCCATGAAGGCTCTTCAGCATGGTATTTTACAATATGTTAATTCTGTTGTAGTTTAGGTCTTGTTCATCTACGATAACTGTATTTTTTTAAAAAGTATTATTTTCTTTCTTAAAAGGAAAGGAGTCCCACCATACTTTTCTTTACTTCCTAGTTGACATTCAAATGAAAAAGGTTTGGCATAAGGTGAGCTCCCAAACTGAAATTTGCTTTTGGAGGCTTGCATGAGACTGCCCTCCACAGCAGGAGTGTCTCTGCAACAGGTAGCACGGGATAGCACCACACAACCAGACGGAACCTGTTTTTTAGAGAAAGTATGGCATGGGTCCACGCTGCCTTCCATTCTGAGCTCTGTGCCATCCATTCCATGGTCATGAGTCACAAGCAAGGATGAGCTATCTTAAGAACAGCCCCTGCCCTCTCTTGTGGAGCGTGCACTGTTAGCTTGCTACTGTTTGACCAGTCCTTGGCTTTTTCTCCAAAGAAACTACTGTGTGATTTCAAGATGACTGTGTAGCAGATCCTAACATAGGTACTAATTCTTCATATTACAAAAGATAAGATATCTACCATCTCTAGGGTGTTACTTCATCCATTATATAGACATTAGGATGTTAAATCTTCATTGCATAACAGGTAATATGCCAGGAACAATTTATTCCTCCTAACAAGCCGGTAAATGCAGATACTGCTGTAGTACTGTAGTGTTGTTGCTATAAGTTAAGGAACAGAGGCAAATTTACCAAGTACCACCAAGGTAGGGGCCAGAGGCTAGATACAAATATTTTCCAACTCTTTGTATAACACTGCTTCTTAAAGGTGCCAGTTCCCAGATTATCGGGGTTGTAATGGCAAAGTCTGTTGGGAAAACAGAGAGGGGAGAGAAGTGAGCTTTTCTCTGGAGGTAAGTAGTCATATTTGAACAGATTATGACAGGGATGCAGACATGGGGGTGTTTTTAGAGGAGGAGAAGTCACTTGGTCAAAGGCCATACAAGGGGTATGGATTGAATGAGAGTTGAATTAAAAGAAGCAGGTTGAGTCTTGCTGACACAGAGGACATCAGGAGATACTGGAATTCGGTATGATCTTAAGTTATGGCTTTATGTGAATCTGTTGAAAGTGTATGTACTGATACCTTAGCTGGGAAGAACTGCAGCTTTAATCAGTAGGAAAACATTTGCCAACCCAGGTAAAAATGTAAAGTTGGTGAATGGTGAATATGCCTCTGGGAAGATGTTACTTTCAATAACTGAAGGCCAAATGGAAACAACTTTCCCCAAGAGGTTGTTTAAAAGCTATCTTGATTGTCATTTCAGCCATGAGAATTACTGGGTGATCTCTATAAAGTTAAATGTTAGATTTTACTAGTATTTTATCCACATTCTGTGATGAAAAGGTAAGATGGGGTCTTTGTTAAACATTGCTCAGTTAGATGCAAATTTCTCACATATTTGAGGTGCATTAATTTTTTGAAAAACCTCTCTGCATGGAAGGTTTTATATTTATATATATATATGTATATATATTATATATCTCAGATAGGTGAATACTTAGCTTCAAAGAGCATATTTCTACCCTTTGGAAAACTCAGACCAGACTACAAGGCTATTAAAAAAATCTTAGCAATCATGAATCTGGCAGTGTATGGTCTGGGAGAACAAAAATCCTCAAGAGTCGAGTATTTTTTCCATTCCATTCTCTTTAGTGCAGTTACTTGAAATCTATAAATTTGATAATACATTTATAGTTTTCACATTTCACAGAGAGGGATGGATGTAAGGGGTGTTTAACATTCCTTTGCACCCTGCAGTGCATTCCACCATATAAACAGCCCTTGAAAGATCACCATTTCGTTTCAGAGCAATGATTCCATCTTAATTGCAATAGAGTAAATGTTGATACTTTTAGTATTAAACTGGAAATGCATGTTTTATAGAATCCCATTCAGATGCCAGTTTTACTTTACTTGTAACAGGATACAGTGGCTTTCATTTGAATTCATACTGAGGGGGAAAAAATGAGAACTTCAGCTCAGCTATCAAGTGATGTAAAAGATGTTCTCTTTGTCTTTATCAGAAAATATTCCTTTGGCAGTTTAAATATTGAATGGCAGCCTGGGGAGAAAATATTCTGAAGTCTTTTAACTGGAGGGAGGGGGTGACTTTCTCAGTCACTTGAAGGCATTATCTGTCCTGATACCTTTCTCCTCATTCACTGTTACAATATGACTAATACTAATACAAATAAAATATGATAACCATTCCATGGGATCCATCTGGGGCCTCTTCATAGCCTGATGCCCCATCTCACCAGAGGTTTCTATTTTTTTTAATAGTTGAGATTTGTTAGCTTGAACCCAATTCTAACAACTTCTGAAACTCATGTGCTAAGTTACAGCCCATAATAGGATACAGCTGCCCAAGGGTGAGGTTCTAAGTTATGATCTTTTTGTTTAAATGATATGGTTTTACTGATTATGTGCTACAGATTGATTTAAGAAATGTTAGACAACTTTAGAAGCCTTTCATAAAAGAATTTTTTATTTAATATATTTTATATTGAAGTTTAACCCCAAAGGCTTTTATTTCTTTTCCTCC